CTAGGAGTTTCATAACAGTCCTCTCATTCTAGTCCCTTTTTAGCCTCTGGCATGGTCCACACAGGCATTATCATTCTGCACAGCAAGCTCCCCACCGCGGATCTGAGTGGACACTGGGGCGCTCTGAGAGCTTGTCACATGACAGGGAAGGGAGGGAAGCTCTGCCCCTGTCTCTCGGGACTCTACTTCTCATTCCGTGGCGCTTACCTGGACCACAGTGATGGTAAGCCAAAGCAATGCATCCCAAACACTTTCGGTGATGCAGGAAGTGCATACAGTCTATATCATATCTGAAGAGCATCTGTAATCTAAGGAAAACCCCAGAGGAGCCCAAGTCATCTTCCCATAACCATTGCTTTCTCCTCGCATAATCACCTAAGCCAATCTGAGATTATCCTTCACCCTGATTTGGATTTGTACTCATCTGCATGCCTTCTGAGGTTCAGTTATTGATCTTCATAAGGAGCAGCTGTGTTTAGACAGGTAGGTGGCCTGGCTGTTTGTCCAACAACATTAAGACAAGCTCCTGACACCTTTACATCTTTGCCATAAGCACCCAGCTTCAGGGTCTCATCAAACACTTGGGATGCCTTAGCATCCCATGTTCAAGGCCTCCCATTACCCTCCCAGATACACATTAAGGTGATGAATTCCGTGTCAACTCATATCATTTATCACCTCCAAGATGGGCAGTTAAAAACCACCATCATCCAGTTTCTCATATATCTGTCACAAGCCAGTCAGGAAAGTCCACAAATTGCTGACACTTGAACATTTTCTTTCTGGAGGAGAAATAAATGAAAGTAGCCATTTGTCTATGTTCAACACAATATCAAATTTAAAACAATATTTTTCTGCTAATAAACAGAAAAGAGTCTCTTATATGGGACACATTGGTGTCATTGGGATATTTGATTACAGGTTGATGAAATGAAATGAGCAGAGAGAGTTCATAAATCATTTTATCTGAATAAAATTTAAAATGAATGAGATTCAAGGAACTGAAATGGGGAATTAAAATGTTGAAGCAGCAATGTCAGGATCTCAGCATTTGTGAACAGGTCCTCTAAAACAAAGAATCTGAGGCTTGCCACAAAAATGCATGTTATTTATACATTTTCACATTCTATATTTCACTGTGTTGTTGGGATCCACATGGACATATGGTGCATGAGATAATTTAAGGAAATTAATTTTATCATCTGTCACTTATAAACCAATAGAAGAAGCAAAATGACATGTATAGGAACAGCTTTATCTGAGACTCAGAAATTGATAAGTGTCAGGCATGGTGGATCATGCATTGCAAGAGACTCAGGGAAGGACAAGGAAAGAGACTGTCATCAGGTAGCCAGCAATCAGAAGGTAGATGTACCTACAAGTGAAGCCTGATATTTCAAACAGTAACTATCAGCTTTTCTTCGGAGGCTCCCAAGCACATAATGCAGTCCTATGTCACTAGCTGGGAAAGACCCTAAGTATTAGAGCCTTGCCCTTCACTTTGCAGAGGAGGCTTCAGAGGACTGAGAAATTGAGAAACCGAGCTGGTGTCACACGGCAGTTAAGGGACTATCCCATGAATAGACCTTGGACCTCTCGAGTCTATGAATGTCCATCTTTCTTCCACCTTGACCTCATGCCTCATATTAACTGATACCATAAATCTCTATTGAACATTATGTGTAATTAAGGTATCATTGTACTAGCTTCCATGGGAATGATTTAACACCATTCATCCTCATTTTGATCAAACAAATCAACTAGTCTTTACCAAACACTTTGTTATCCACCAAGACTTTAACATCACTGAGAATCATTTGTTTATTCATGTTCTTCCTCTTCAAAAATGATACTTCTAAGTACCCCTTCCATAACAGACATCTGCATTTTCTGGTGTAGCTACTCTTGGCAAACTATCTCCACTGGCACCTCCTACACTCAAAACAGGCCAGCTCCCTTTGCGTCCTTGGAAGCAAAGCTAATTTCCCGCAGGTTTTATGAGGGCGTGATGTTTTCGATTGTATTATCACCAAAGTCAGGTTTTGTCTTTCGTGCTCCTGGTTCCCCTCCACTTACGCAGTCACGTCTCAGTCCTGGGCCATCCTGCTGTGTCCTACTTGTAAGACAGATGAGAAGGAGGGCGTGTGGCCACAGGGAAGACCCAAGGGGCCATGGTAAGCCTGACCATCCCAATATGTCAAGTTACTGGGTCCTGCTATTGTTGTTGTTTAGTTGCCAAGTCTTCTCAGACTCTTTTGTAACCCCATAGACTGCAGGGCTGCTCTGTCCATGTAATTAAGGTATTGTACTAGCTTGACTGTAGCCCACCAGGCTTCTCTGTCCATGGGATTTCCCAGGCAAGAATACTGGAGGGTGTTGTCACTTCCGTCTCCAAGAGATCTTCCCAACCCAGGGATTGAAATTGTGGATCCTGTATTGCAGGCAGATTCTTTACCACTGAGCCACCTGGGAAGACATCATTAAATAGTTATGAAAGCCAGTGATTAGATCATTGAATTCACCTTTACTGGGGACTTTCCTGGAGGCCCAGTGGTTGATATACCATGCTACCTGTACAGGGGGTCTGGGTTCAATCCCTGGATGGGAACTAAAGTCCCACATGCCGTGCAGTGTGGCCAAAAAAATAAATAATAAATTACACATAAAAAATAAATAAATATAATGCATCCAAATATATATATATATATGTATGTATGTATACACCTTAATTTTATTAAGCACTACCCTCTCCTTTTAAATGCAAATACTTTTGAAATGGTATACAACAGATTTGTAATTTAGAGCATCAGATTGTGTTTCTCTACAGGAGGGAAAAATGAAGCGGAACAGAGCATCCAAGGCAGTGGTGCAGTGATCCCCATGATGGTCTCAGATGAATCCAGTCCTGGGAAAGGGGTTGAAGAACTAGAACCATTCTGTGCAGGCAAATTGGCCCCGTGCAATATTCTCTGGGGTGTTAATAATCGTAATCATCATAATAGTCATTAAAGCAGCTGATATTTATCGGAGGCTTATGATGTTCCAGACATTTAGCTGCAAGCATGATACTGCAGAGGCCACATTCTCCTTTGAGAATCTTAAACTTTCATTCCTGAGCCCCGCTAGTCTGCCAAAATATTATGACAGATCTTAGAATACATCACCTGGTTCTTCCCTTGTGGAATTGCCATATGAAATAAAGAATATATTTTACTTATTAATAGCATAGTAATTAACAATGATATACTAAATAATGTATTCTATGATATAATAATATATTTTATGTTGATAAAATATTTTACAGATGACCCTTGAAAATGCTGATTTGAACTGCATGAGTCCATTTACATGGAGATATTTTCAATGGTAAATACAATAGTATTACATGTATTACATCACAGACAGGGAGAACTGACAATAAATTTTATGCAGATTAACCCCTGACTTGTTCAAGGATCAACTTTAATTACAAACATGGTTACTTATTTAGTAGGTATAAATTTACCTATAATTTCCAGGTATCCACACAGGAAATACCATTTTCTTTGACAACCACAACTCAAGGATGGATCCTAGAGCTGAAAGGTCAAGGTTTGAATCCTGGCTCTATTTCTTCATCTGTGAAATGAATTGTAAAATGTCACCTCATAGGATTTTTGGCTCCTCTGTTCATGGTGATTTTCCAGGCAAGAATACCAGAGTAGGTTGCCATGCCCTCCTCCAGAGAATCTTCACTGCCCAGGAATTGAACCTGCATCTATTATGTCTCCTGCATTAGCAGACTGGTTCTTTACCACTAGTGCCACCTGGGAAGCCCAAATGAGTTAATATTTGTGAAGTAATTAGAATTGTGGCTAGCACATAGTGCATATAATCTAAGGATCTAAAACCTAGCTTTATTTGATATGTATAACATATATATGATATATGTATAATAGCATGGTTATCATTATCCCAGTTTTTCCTCTCTCCCCTTTCAAGATCAAAGAAGGAAAATATTTTCTATTCAAGATGGAAACAAGTGTGTAAACTAGAATGCATCTAGTCTTCTTTCTTTATCTTGCCGGGAAATCTTCAATTTCCCCCAAGAGGAGAGGGTTTTAAAACACAAAACCTGGGAGATCTATAGACTATTACTGGTCTCCTGGCCTCACCTTGGAAATCCCTTCTCTGAAACATGATTGGAGGGAAAGGGGGAAACCCCATGAAAGAAGAAAAATTTTGAGAGGTGAATATCTCCATCTATCAGCCTGCCTTATTTAAACAGGAGGGTGGTTTTTAACAGGCAATTAAGAACATCAAGAAGTCACAGAAGGCTGCTTGTTTGTCCCTGAGAACCCGGAAACCCACCCTCCCACCACGGCTGGGCTCTCATCCTTCCCCGGCTCCGAGCCCTGGCGGGCATTGAGCAAGGAAAGCGGAGGCCGGGGCCGCGGGGACGCGTGCAGCTGGCTTCCAGCCCTGCGGATGTCAGTGCTGGCTTTCTGCAGAACGGGGATCTAACTGCACAAGGTGGCCTCTGACCACTCAGTCCCTCTGGTCACCTCCAGACAGCAGAGGGGGCAATGACGCCAGCTGCTGACTGGACTTTGTGCAGGCCGGGACGCTACTAACTTGGGTAGAAATACCACAAGTCAAGAGACCGTTTCTCACTTCAGCCGCAAAATAGAACTCAAGTGAACTGAAGTCCTTGTTCTGCATTTTCTGCTGAGATATCGCCCCTCTTGGGGTATATGGGCGTCCCCGGTGGCTCAGACAGTAAAAGGATCCACCTGCAATGCGGGAGTCCCGGGTTCGATCCCTGGATCAGGACGATCTCCTGGAGGAGGGCATGGCAACCTGCTCCAGTATCTAGCCTGAAGAATCCTCATGGCCAGAGGAACCTGGCGGGCATACAGTCCGTGGGGTCACACAGAGTCAGACACGACTGAGCGACTAACACTGGCACACTCGGGGTGTGTGTGTGTGTGTGTGTGTGTGTGTGTGTGTGTGTGTCTCACACTGGAGGCTGGACTCCACAGGACACCAGGCACTGGGCAGGGAAGGTGGCTGCGAGCAAGCACCGGATGGAGGCCGCAGGTGTGAGCTGCAGGCCGCGAGGGGGATGGAAAGCTGGCTGCCTCTTCGCTGGGAAGTCCGACGCCCCGCAGAGGTCAGAGCCTTGGTGACGCTGCTGAACGCCTGGCCTCGGAGCTGCAGGAGCTGCAGGAGGACCGCGGGACGGTCGAGCAGCCGCAGGCCTGAGTGCACCTCCACCCGTGGGGGCGAGCGTCTCAGATGCGGCGGGCACGGGCCACAGCGCGACTGCTTGCTCCCTCCACACCCGCTTCTCGACCACGAGTCTCGGAGCCACGCAGGAAGCGGGATTCCGAGAGGCGGCTCAGCCTGGTGCAGCTGACACAGGGCTCCACCACCCAGCACCTCCCCCTCCAGCTGCATCTCCTGGATTCAGGAATTCTTTCACTGGGTGTAAAGACAAGGGAGACATGGAAAGAAAATACTAAGGGTGTGTGTGCACATAGATAGGGCTATGACCGGAAGTGTGCTTTGAACTGGTGTGTTTCACAACATCGCCCCTATTCTTCCCCAGAACTGTATGCACGTGGGGTAGAGTTACAGCCATATGTCTGTAAGTTAACAGTCTTCAAGGGGGCGAGCATCTATAACAACTAATGAAACCACACATCTCTCTCATCTCATCTTCAAGACTGTAGCTACACTGCCACCTGCCCTTTGATATTTTCTCCAGGCTTCAATCCCAGTGAGACTCATCAGTGGCTGGTTTTACAGAAGAAGGTATGAAATGTAGGAAGGTGGGACCGTGATCCTGCCTGCAGGGCAGGAAGAGAGACGCAGACATAGAGAATGGACGAGCAGACCCAGGGGGTGACGCGGAGCGTGGGCGAATTGGGACAGCAGGACTGACGTGCATGTACTATCTTGCGTGCAATACATAGGCAGTGGGGCGCTGACCTCCGACACAGAGAGCTCCGCTCCATGCTCTGTAAGGACCCAGGGGTGGGACGGACACGGGCGAAACAGGCTCAAGAGGGAAGGGGTGTATGTGTACATATGGCTGACTCGCTTCATTGTGCAACAGAAACCAACAGCATTGTAAAGCAATCATACTTCAATAAAAAAAAATAAACGCACCAGTATCTAAAGCATGTATAAAAAGTAAATAAATAAAGAGAATAGTCCAAAAAAGAAAATGCAGAATAAATATATACTGTCATTAGTGCACATAAAAATGAAATACGGACACTGAACATCTTTATGATTTCATGCAACACAAACTATGTTTTGTATTGTTAACCATTTCTATATCTTCATAATTATAACTGGGCAGTAATATAAATTAGTCTAAAACTGATGGGAGAATCATATGATAACTGTTGTAATTATTGCATTAAAGAATACTCCTATGGCTTATATAATTAGTGATTGCGAGCCTTAGTGCCCTCATTTGTTGTTTTTTATTTACATGGTTATATAATTCCTACACTGTTTCATGTCTGATTTTTAAAACTAAAATACTCTGTGTGAAAAATGAAAATAAAAGACAGTAACTCCAAACGAGAGGGCTTCGGAGGTCTTGGCCCCCAGACTCCCGGCTGAGGCCCGGCCCCTCTGCCGTCTCCAAAGCCTTCCGTCTGTTCCGACGTTTGCTGTCACCTGGACGCCAGCGCACAGCGCGTTTCCCAGTGGCTCTGACGGCGGCATCACTCGCTCCTGGAGGACAGGGCGGGTACTCAAGGCAGGAACGGAGGAGGTTCCACGGAAGGACTGCTCACCGAGGGCGCGGCCGGTTTCCGGAAGCCAGCTGCCTGCGGAAACAGCCAGGGGTTAGAGGCTCAGGCCGCGGGAGGGCTGGGTGGGACGGACGTGCTGTCAGGTGGAGGCAGCGGTAGCTGGGGAAGGCGGCCTCCCTGCCCCGGCTGGCGGTGTGGCCCGGGCCCGCTCCCCCCCAGAGGCCGCTGACCTGGGCCTGTCTCCAGAGGACCTGGTAGGGACCAGAAAGCGGCATTGGCCAGGGGCAGTCGTCCATGGGGTCAGCTTCCTGGAGCGAAGGGCAGGGCAGCGAATAGACCTGGGGGACCACTGGGAACCCACAGGCTTCTCAGGCGTCACTTCTCCTTGACAGTCATCAGACTGCAGTGACCAAGCATGCATGGTGGCCAGAGCAGCAGACCTGCAGAAACACCTGGGGCGCTAGCCCCGGCATCACAGAGCAGGACACCGGGCCCTCATCCCCCTCCCGGCGGGTGTGCAATAGACCTTACAATGCTGACCAGCTCTGCAGTTTCACCGCGAGCCCCGATAGGTGTTCCCTGCACACTGGTGTAGGCTTGATCTCTCTTTTGGCTCTAAAGCTACAGAAGCCCTCGGGGAAACTGCAAAGCAGGAAAAGCTTTAGGCTCCAGAGTCACCTGCCCATCTCCCAGCAGATGTCTTTCCACCTCCGAGTGGCCACAAAGCAATAGCATTGTTTTTACTCTCATATTTAGACGGAGAGGCATAAAAATACACAGACGTGAAAGTAGTACTGTGGTCTGTCAGCAACGCAGCTCATCTGCAGGGCTGGACCGTCTCTGCTGTCCATCTGCGATGGTAGCCCTCAGCCAGCACGACGGGAAACCAGGCTAGGAGGAGCAGCTGGCGGGCTCCACCCTGGATGCAAGGGCGGGACCTGCCCAGGGGATAAGCCACTTCCTGCCTCCAGTCAAAGGATCTGCTATGGGAGAGAAAACAATGCTTCTAGACCTAGGAAGGCAAATGGGGATAAGAGAGAAAAATATAGAAAACACACACACCAGGTACTAATTAAAGAATTCTATACATATATAATTGTATATGTATACATAAAGACATTTATATATATATATATATATATGCATATATATACATACATTTTATTTATGTATAAATATATGTGTGTATTTATATATAATACATTTATATATATATACACATATATAAATACATATATAATAGATTTATATATACACACACATATAAATACATTTATATATAAAGACATTTATATATATATACACAAATACATTTTATTTATGCATATATATGTATTTATATATAATTCATTTATATATACACATACATAATACATTGTATATAAATACATTTATATATACACACATATAAAAATATATATACACATACAAAAATGTATATATATATATATACACACAGAAATAAAATGCAGCATAATAAACCTAAGAAATGCTAAAGAGTGGAAGAGTACAGAGTTCTAAGGACCCCGACTCCACCTTGGAGGCATATGAACATACAGTGGCTGGAACATAACGGACTCAGTAAACAATTTCTGACTTGTCCCTCATATGCTAAATATAAAATAAAGTACTAAACTGAACATTCTCAGGTGTCGGTCACTGAGTGGGAGAGCCCGTTGCCTGAAGTCATTGGCCAGGGATCTAGCTGGAGGTGGCCTGAGCAGTATGCCCGTCGGTCCCCAAACACAGCCACAGAAACAAACATCTAGCTTGTCCCTGACAACACTGTCAGGTGAGAGGCTGGACAGGTGCATGGCCTGGACCATAAGACCAGGGTTCAGTCCTGCTATAATGTCCCATCTCTGTCCCCAGAAGTATCTGGAAGGATTTGCCACTTTGATTCCATCTTAGACACTGGTCACCCTGAACTCTAGATGCTCAATGTTTTGCCAGATCAGCAAGTTTCTGTCCTTATTTATTTTTTTCTGTCTTCTAGGCAAACCCCTTTTCTTCTGTGAAAATCAGACCCAGACTGAAAGAAAAAGGGAAGACTTAACTTTTCACTCAATAATTACCTCTTTTTTAAGATTTGGTTTTCTATTTGTTTGTTTTCACTTTCCACCATATGCATTATGACCTTTTCAATTAAAAATTAAGTTAAAAAGACCAATCATCTGCATGCTGCCTGCCACCATCTTCCTGCCATTATTAGTAGGTGCTAACTTTGCAGGAACTAAAGAGACTCTCTGGGTGAAAGAAGAGAGGGGAAAAGCTGGCTCAAAACTCAACATTCAACTCCTTGGAAGAAAAGCTATGACAAACCTGTGTGTGCTATGTCACTTCAGTCGTGTCTGACTCTTTGCGACCCCATGAACTATAGTCCTCCAGGCTCCTGTTTGTGGGATTCCCCAGGCAAGAATACTGGAAAGTGAAAGTGAAAGTCACTCAACCGTGACCAACTCTTTGTGACCCCATAGAATATACAGTCCAAGGAATTCTCCAGGCCAGAATACTGGAGTGGGTATCCTTTCCCTTCCCCAGGAGTAGGTTGCTATTTCCTCCTCCAGGGGATCTTCCTGACCCAGGGATCAAACCCACATCTCTTACATCTCCTTCATTGCCTGGTGAGTTCTTTACCACTAACGCCAGCTGAGAAGCCCTATGGTCAACCTAGACAGCATGTTAAAAAGCAGAGACATCACTTTGCTAACAAAGGTTCGTATAGTCAAAGTTATGGCTCTTCCAGTCACGGAAGTGAGAGTTGGACCATAAAGAAGGCTGAGTGCTTAACAAATGATGCTTTTGAATTGTGGTGCTGGAGAAGACTCTTGAGAGTCCTTGGGACAGGAAGAAGATCAAACCAGTCAATCCTAAAGGAAATCAACCCTGAATACTCACTGGAAGTACTGATGCTGAAGCTGAAGCTCCAGTACATTGGCCACCTTATTCAAAAAGCCAATTCATTAGAAAAGACCCTGATGCTGGGAAAGATTGAGGACAGGAGGAGAAGGGGGCAACAGAGGATGAGCTGGTTGGATGGTATCATCAATTCAATGGACATGAGTTTGAGCAAACTCTGGGTGATAGTGAAGGACAGGGAAGCCTGGCATGTTGCAGTCCATGGGGTTGCAAAGAGTCGGATGTGACTGAGTAACTGAACAACAAAAACTTTGCGGGAGCAAAACTGGCAGCAGGGGAGAAAGATCTGCTTTGACCCCAGCCTCTGATTCAACCCCCTTTTATGCTACAAGTTCCTCAGTGAGATACAGTAGCAGGACTGATCTCCTTTGCTCTGAGTATTGCAGTGCTGCAAACCCTGAACTCCTTGAACTGCAGAAGCACCAGTGTGGGACACAGCTCTGGGTGGCCTCTCTGTGGAGTAACTCCCTGACATTCTGTGAGAGACTGGCTCAGAGGGACGGAGGTCAAAAGCTAAACTCATTTTGGCCTATGCTGCCAACACCTGTGCTGTGAACCTCTTTGCTGATAGATTGGATAGAAAAAAGCCAAATAGTATCAGATAGTAAATTACATAACCATGACCCATTCTTTCATCTAATCCAGAAGTGTCATCTCTGCTAACAGTCACCGGACTTCAAATTCTTCCAGAAGCCCTTCATGTGTGGTTGCTTCCTGACTCAGCACCCAGCTATGCTCTGTCAGTTGTCCAAGTGCATCTTCCCTGGTCCT